TACTCTGTCGCAGCACAATGGCCTGCGCCTATCAATCGAGCGTTAGCAGACGGGAATCGATCGGCATTAGCCGCTCGTGGCTGCGTTCGGCGTCTATAGCTTCGGAGCATTGTTGTAACTGTGGCGCGTCGACGCGCTTTACAGCGTATTCACAGCGCGTTGACGCGCGTCATCGCGAAGTCTGATGCTGTCTAAGCGATGTCCCTGCTCCCTATCTAGTGTAGATTGTGCACTAAAAAGATTTGCAATGTCTCAATTAGGACTGTTAAGGTTACCCGGTCCGAGGAGCACCTTTTGGAGCAAGCGATACGTGTAATGAAGTTCCACGCAGATCGAAAAGCTGTTCTTGAGATTGAGTATGTTGGTGAAGAGGGCACAGGCCTAGGCCCTACGCTGGAGTTCTACGCACTGGTTAGTTCAAAGAAGTGTTCGGAGCTGTGCTGATTTTCGGCTGTATTATCCATATGTAGGTTGCTGCCGAGCTGCAAAGAAAGGCGTTAGCCATATGGTTGTGTGATGACATGGACGAGCACCAACTGAAGATGGAGGAACGTGAGCTTGACCTTGGTGAAGGCAAGAAAACCACCAGGGTTAGTGGTTTTATAGCCTTTCTGCGGCTTGGTGAATTGCCTTTCTGAGTGGCCTCTGCTGGTTCAGATTCTACGTGCGCCGTGCTGGAGGTTTTATTCCCAGCCCCTCTCCCACCGCATACAGATGAAGTTCGTCGTGCATCGGAGATGTTCCGAGTTCTTGGAATCTTCCTCGCTAAGGTTTGTGATACTCATGATTTGAGTTGAAAAGCAATTGCCAATTTACTGCTTCCAGGTGCTCCAAGATGGACGTCTTGTGGATTTGCCTCTGGCTCGTCCATTCTTGAAACTCATTGTGTCACCACACCTTAGCGAAGCTGAGGAGCCGTCACTAGATCGAGTGCTTTCGTTGGATGATTTCGAGGAGGTCCATCCTGTCAAGGTAAGGTTTTACTATGTCCTGTTGTCGCCACCTTGCATTCTTAGTTTCTCGAGTGTCAAATCAGAGTAATGTATACTGACGAAATCCCTGAGATCGGTAGGCATGGCCTGATGTTCCCACTTAACCTGAGGTGTCGTATGGCATTCTGGTGAGATATTTTCATCTTGACACAATTTTTGTCGTGTCTCTGTCCCACACAGAACAAGATGACAGTTGTCCCAGACTGGAATATTCCACGAGTAACCAGTTCCGTGTCATGTTCAAATGCCACGCCTACTCTGGCTCAGGGATAAGGAGTGTAATTAAGCGTAGCCTTCAGCTTGCAAAGCTCTTAAATAGAATTTTGAAGCTTTTTTATTGACTTTCTTGTTTTTGGACCAGAAACTTCATAAATTAGGCTCCAGAAGCAATCATTAAAGGTGGCTAGGGGCCTAATGTAAAAGAAATGTGATTTTCACAACGATGCCAGGCTGATAATCCGATTGAAGGGCTTTGAACCGTTGCCTCGCATTCTACGAAATCTCTCTCGCAGGGAAGTCCGGCTGCACTTGCCATGTAACCTTTTGGGAGATTGTGCGTAGATCGATGGGTTTTATTAGGTTATTTACAGATATATGATAGCTAAACTGCAACCTGCATTATTACACAAGCAGTTTACTGAATAGGTAAAGCCTTTGTAATGGTGCGGTGAGGGTGGAGGCTTGGTGGTGAGCTGTGAAGCATAAGCGAGGAATCGCATACGTCGAATCGAGTCGTCGAACGTCGAACCTTACCACTGAACCACCACGACTCGATTCGACGTATGCGATTCCTCGCTTATGCTTCACAGCTCACCACCAAGCCTCCACCCTACTGCACCCATTACAAACTTTAACCTGTTCATTAAGGGCTTGTGAAATGGCAGGTTGCAGTTTGCTATCTATAATTTGTAAACTAACCATAATAGACCTATCGATCTACCCGAGGTCTTTTATTCAAAAGTTCTATGCCTAAAGTTGGGAGACCTTCGGCCTGTTGGTCAGAGACAATCTTTAGATTTACCTCCGTGGATAGTCCTCTCCATTTGCGAAGTGAATGGAGCCGCAGAAGAGCTGCTGAGGCGGGGAGCAGGTCGTTATTACGGTTAGTAGCCCTCAGTAGCGGTAGCTGCGCCGTTCGACCGCCTACCGAACAGCGCCGTCGAATGTGACATAAAATTTGTAGGACATGGGGGGGGGTCATAACGAAGTGCTGTGGCGTATCAATTACATAGCAATGCTGGTCGGCTAGGGCTTTAAATAGCATTGACCGTGACAGTTGTGCGCACTGATCCCTACATTACTTGTTCCAGGAGGATTCCTCAAAGAACTGCGTGCGTTGGCACAGAGGAAACGTGCGATTGAAAATGAACCAATGCTGGATCGAGAGGCGAAACGGCGAAAGATCGATGAACTGAAATTATGCATTCATGGTACTCGCTGCCGTGTGGAAGACCTCGCTCTCAATTTCACGTATGTTCAGTTTTTCTTTGCGGTAAAAATATGGTTTTCCGATTATAGTTTTTCTCAAGTCTAATAGTTTAGGGTCAACCCACCGTCGTCGGTGTTCGACTATGAAGAGATGGAATTGGTCGAAGGTGGTGCTGATATGGATGTGACCATGGATAATGTCGAGCT